AGAGAGAGAGAGAGAGAGAGAGAGAGAGAGAGAGAGAGAGAGAGAGAGAGATGTTTGTTTTAGTAGAGGTTTTATGGCGCTCGCAACTGCATAAGGTCATATGAGCGCCAAGGGGTGTATGTCAATAGAGAAGACTGCCCGGGAATCAGGCTTACTCTGCTCACCTCTATAGCTTTAACAGCACGAAGTCTGCTTCGACTATCGAGGCACCCCGGAAATAGCAGGTTACGAGAGTGTTTAGTTTTAGTAAGAGTTTTACGGCACTTGCAACAAAATAATGTAACATAAGTGTCGAAGTAAAGACGTGTTACAAGAGAGTAACATACATAAAAAAGGAGGAGAGATAAGCAGGACCTACTTGTACAGGCTGCAGTTCTCACTGCCACGATAGGCACAGGTCACACTGAATTACCTACACCCATTCTTTGGACAGACAAACGGATGTTATGGCGACCCAACCATTGTGTTCCCGTTGTGTGCGAAAGTTTGGTGGGTGGGAATAGTGTTGATGATGGAGAAGCTAGAACTCGTAGCCCAGAGATGAATAATAATGACAGGTGGTGGAGAGGTGAGAGAACTGACAGCGATGACTCGAGAGGTGAGAGGCTATACGGGTTGCCATTAAAAGAGTATTTCCTCAGGCTCAAAGAGCCGTGTGCACAGTCCATGCCAGGAAAAACGTTGATGCATTTATCAGAGATAAGGTGGGGATGCCCCAAAGGCATCGAACAGAGCTCGTGAATCAGGTATTTGGACCAGGTGGTGAGGTGGCCAGGGAGACAGATCCCTCCATCTTGGCGGATGTCTTACAACTGCTCTGCAGTCAGCATGGCAACGCTCAGATTGGGCAGTATATGGGGAGAATGGAGTCCCTCTTGGTTGAGAATGACACTACAATGACCAAACCAGGTTTGATTGTCAAGTCTTCTTTGTGAGACAATAATTTGACTGAAAGTGCCAATAATGCCCCGAAACAGAAGGTGGGCTGGCAGCAACAGAAGCTGCCAGTCCTGTGCAATATTATACAGAGTGTAGTTGAGGTGCAGTTCCGTGAGCTGCGGATGTCGCTTGTTGGCCATGGACACTACCAGTTGGTACGTATCTACCACAGGTTTTTCATGGCTTCTGCGGTTTTCTTTAATCAAGAAAACACAGAAACAGAGCGATGCCCTTTTCGGGTGTTTCAAGGCGAAAGCAAAGGAAGGCAGGCCCTCTGGTCCACTCCACCAATGGGAACGCCATAGTGAGACAGCCAGCTCATCGGGCAGAAAACCTGGCCCAGTGCCAAGACTGAGGGCTGATCGAACAACTTGAAAGAAACGTGTTTGGTGGAACATCGAAACGTATTGAGGTGCGATGAATACATGCAAATAAACACATTAAACATATTACATATCTAAATCCATGTCACAGTTCTCTTTTCGTGTTTTAAAATATGCCTTTTCGTGTCTAATCGTTGTTTATCGTGGGTGGGATATGAACATGATATTGAAGAAGAATCAGACGTATGCTTTAGAAAAGACCAATTAGTGCCATAGTCATTTTTTTTTCAAAATACAAGATGAAGAGCTTTTAAACAGGACCACTACAAATTGATTGCAGTCAATAAGGACAAACCTAAGGTGGATTTATTTGTGCAAGATGGCGTCCTGGCGTAGGCTTCTCATTCAACACGTCCGTAGCGGTCCGTAGAGACATTTGGAGAATATTTAAGAGTGTTTTATGGTCTGCTGTGGTAATAATAGTTTAAAACGCATAGAGATTGCTGTTGAGCGAGGGTATGCGCTACACAAATGCTATTTTATTATTATTATTATTATTATTATTATTATTATTATTATTATTATTATTATTATTATTATTACTTTTATTATTATTATTATTATTATTATTATTATTATTATTATTGTCATTATTATTATTATTATTATTATTATTATTATTATCATTATTATTATTATTATTATTATTATTATTATTATTATTATTATTATTACTAAATTCCCAACTGCGATGACGAAAAATAAGTCGAATGTACTTGCTTGAAATAAAATGACAGAGCGGCTGTGTTTCTATTTGCATGGATATACACATATAGATCTATATATTTATTTTTTTTATTTAAAAAAAAATAAATTTTTTTTAATATTTAAAAAAAAAAAAAAATTTAATATAAAAAAATATATATACAGTCCATGCCGGCTTTAAGCACGGTCGTCAGGAAAAAGCTTAAACGTGCTTAAAGTCGAAGCGTGCTTGAGTGCGAAGTAGACATAATCCAGAGATTTTCATGTAGAAAATTCCCCGTGCTATTTCCCTTTGTTTGTAAGTAGGCCTATAGCGGTCCAGCAAAAGTGTGCACTCTTATTTTTACCCACCATCGTAGTTTTTGTTCGCTTGTTTGTTTTTGTTTTACTGTCGAATGGGAAATGAAAACTTAATTTAGACGGCCAGTCACGATACAGCACACTAGGCCTACACAGTGCCTGTGCGTACCACTGCCCGCTGTGCCACTCATACAACCGCCTTCATCCCACCTCGCGCGTGATACACAATCAGGATTAATGGATAGCGAGGGTCAAAGGTGAAATCGCAGCCAGCCTCCTTTTCTCGTCTCCCCGACTCTCTTTGTATTTTTTTTTTAGTCGTGTGTAGCTTTGCCCTAGGCCTAGGCTAGATCCTATGTCCGCGTGCGCGGCTGTGTGCATCTGCCTTCCCCTCCGCCCGTGTGAGTGTGTGTGTCCATCACTTGCGTTCTTTGTGTTTCTCTTGACACACTCCACTGCTGCGGTGTAGACTGTGTTCAAACTTCAATTGGTCATCATGAAAATATTGACTGTCTTGTAAATGATAAATGAAGCGTGCTTGAAGCCGAAGTTACCGTGCTTAAAGGCGTGTAATTTATATAGCAAAAATTCGGTAAGAGCCGTTTAGCGTGCTTGAGTCCGAAACGTGCTTTAAGCCGGCGTGCTTAAAGCCGGCACGGACTGATATATATATATATATATATATATATATTGATATTGTGTGTGTGAATGTGTGTGTGTGTTTGAATGTCAGAGATAGAAAGAGGGAGAGACAGACGGAGAAAGATTCCATTATTAAGAAAACACACGCATGAGAGCAGTGTTTGAGAAGCAATATCTTGCACTGTTGTCAGCCTTCACTTTTTCAACAACGGGTTTTCATCCCTAATGTCTATATGGCGTAGTGTTTGATTCAGAATTAAAAAACCAAATTTTCTTTAATAAAAGTTCCAATTCCTTAACAAGAATGCCTTTAACGATAATTAGTTTGTTCTCAATCATGCTGTCAGATTATACTCCTGATACTGACGGTGACAGAATGTCCAGTGGGTCTGTGTTTTCTCAACTCTATACAGATGTAACCAGTATAGAATGTTCTATAAGCAGCTGACCTAAAGCATTTCGAACCAACATAGGCAAATCAGAACCACGAATTTGCATTTTCCATAGCGTACATGTTGCTGTCAGTTTTTTTAAAGTTTTTGATAAAGGAAACACATTGATTGATATACATATTAATTTAATACATGAATAGCCAAGTTATGATTCTTTTTTAAGATGCCCCCAAAAACAACATATCTTCAAGTGTTTTCAAAATGTTCACCTTCTTGTCTAGAATGTGGATGGGCTGTTGAGAAACATTGCATATGACTTAGAGGCAACCAGAAGTTGCAGTTCATGGTTTTAGTTTTCTTGAATATTTTCCCACCTTGTTCAGTGTCTTGACGACATACCAAGAGCTCTGCCGTCTAATTGACCTATACTGAGTCCTAGTTCAGTAGAACAGTAAAAAAAAAAAAGCAAAATAAAAACAAACAAACAAACAAACAAACAAGCAAACAAACACGCAAACAAACAAACAACAACATGTGGAACTGCATCTTGAAGACGTAACGGCACACGCATACAAATTCAAGACACAAAAACAGATTATATGATTTTAATTTTTAAAAACATTTTATTGGTGTTTTGTATACAGGAACTCTCTCTCTCTCTCTCTCTCTCTCTCTCTCTCTCTCTCTCTCTCTCTCTCTCTCTCTCTCTTTTTTTTTTCTTTCTCTCTCTCTCTCTCTTTTTTTTTCTTTCTCTCTCTCTCTCTCTCTCTCTCTCTCTCTCTCTCTCTCTCTCTCTCTCTCTCTCTCTCTCTCTCTCTCTCTCTCTCTCTCTCTCTCTCTCTCTCTCTCTCTCTCTCTCTTTCGCACGATTTAAATTATAATTCCGTAGAGTGAAAGTAATAATAATGATAATAAAAATAATAATAATAATAATAATAATAATGATAATAATAATAATAATAATAATGATAATAATAATAATAATAATAATAATAATAATAATAATAATAATAATAATAATAATAATAATAATAATAATAGTAAATAAAACCAGTAAGGGTATTGTATACTTGTAGCTGTCCTGCTTAATTCTTAGTCATCCACGTGATAAGAAACACACACTCACTCACTCACACACACACACACACACACACACACACACACACACACACACACACACACACACACACACACACACACACACACACACACACACTCAAAGACAAAAAAGCAAATGTTTTTTAAAGTAGAAAACAACCACTAAACAATTAACTACTAGACCTAAGTTTAAGCACCCATGCCATGTTCTAATCCATAAAATAGCCGTGGGCAAAACGTGTGTCCAGACAGAACACCTTAATTTACTTTGAATCCCTTTCTTTCTTGTTCATCACTGTGAGGATTCCTCTCAGAACAACACTACATGTATTTCTCTATTTATACAAAGACACTTAAAGATCAAAATACATTTTATGAAACTTGTGGCCAATACTATTCAGTGACACGTGGTTGTAACTGAAAAAAACCCCACGTAAATGAAAGCTAAAGACAAACTACAATTTAAAATTTCATTTAAAAAAAGATTTTAAAATGGCTAAGCTACATGAGTGCATACGTGTATTAAGAATGGAAATTCTCAATTAGCTCAAAATTGTCGATACGTTTATTAACATCTATTTATAACAAAAATTATTATCTAAAATTTTGGAATACATTCAAAATGTTTATTGTGTTTGATACTCTTCCGTAGAATGCCCCTTTAAACATACAAATGAACTATCTGCAACCATGGGACCCCACCCCCCTTCCTATTTGTACGCCACTTTGTCCTATGTTTCTTCTTCTTTGCTCATCAACTCGGATGCTGCCCCCTCCACTCCCCCGTGTCCCTCTGTGTCGACGAACTTGGCTTTCGTACAGGGCTGGCTCAACAGCTTATTCTGCATCTTCCCAGTCTGAAAATTCCCAATCCGAGCAGTCAAAGTCCATGTACTCAAAGTCAGAGTCAGATTCTTCAACAAAACGAGCACTCTCCTCACGAGCTCGGTTCAGTTCCTCTCTCAGCAGCACAACACCGTCATTGTAGGCAGTATACCGCTCTTGTAGATCTGAAAGTTCCTCCGTAAGTAGACCCCTCTCCTCGTCAATAACCAACACTTTGTCTTCTGCAAATAACTCCTCCTCTTGAACTTTGGGTTGTTCTTCCTTACATTTGCGCCGATAAGCTCTTGTCTCCTGTTATTGAAAGAAGCAGTTTTCTTGGGTTAGATACATTCAACAAAAAATATTTTAATGGTTATTTATTGGAATCCAAAACAGCACCCAATAGATGAATCATACTTTATTGATCCTCAAGGGGAAGCAATATTCAAAATACAGTGTATACAAGTACATACGTATAGCACCATACAGTGCTGGCCAGAAGTCGCAATACCATTTGAAACATCGGCTTATTTTTTCATAAAAATTATTTATGTTTTTTACCTCCAGATATTAACAGTTCACATGGTTTCAGTGCATCAGATTTCTCTTCCAACAACAACATACTTCGAGACTTTCAGGTATCCCTCTCAGCCTGGGTGGCAGGCAGATTTAAAGTCCACCTCCTAAATGATCTTGTCTCCAACATCTACACTTTAAAAGAAAATCTACCTTTCCCTAATCCACCCACTTCTCACAGACTCCGTAATGCTGTTTAGAAATGTATTTCTTTTTTTTTTTTTTAAGCCATAACAACTCAATTATACACGGATTACCAGATTTCTATACTTTGGGAAATGGATTTGTCCGAAAAGGTGCGTGTAGAGATTGTCAGTATCTTTCGTTTTCTTTAATAAATGTCTTTATTTGATCTGCAGTTTCCAGCCCTGGTTTTTATGCAATATGCAAGGACTATCTATTGCGAAGAGAAATTGAACTAGGCCTACCTCTATAAGTCGCTTCAGTTCCCCTTCCAGCTTCACCATCTCTGCAAGGCTAGCTCTATAACGCTCCTCGAGTTCAGTCAATCTCCTGAGAACTTGCATCTTTTCTTCAGTGCGCATTTCCTTCTCTTGAGTGTGACGAGACCGTGAGTCCTGTTAAAGAAAGGAAAGTCAAAGCTTTCAGTTTACTTTAGAAATCTTTTTGCTCAAATAAGAAGGCTACGGTCAGTGTTGGAAATCCCTTCTGCTGTAAATAGAAATAAGTACAGTCGACGGGTAAACCAATAGCTTATGAAACCCCCCCCCTCCCCCCACCCACCCACAAACACACACACACACACACACACACACACACACACACACACACACACACAGAGACGTGCTGTAACAACAACTGTTAATGAACAAGCCGTTACTGCTCTATTATAGTTAACCTTCAAGAGGTGACCGCCTTTATCACGCGACAACAATCGCTTTCGGTCAACACTACACAATGGTGACATCATTTAAATTATAGTGCAGTCAAAAATACGTGGCACAACTTTTTGATTGTCAGATATCTCCTAAACTATTGCACACAGACTCTCCAGCTTTTGCACAATGACTTGTATCAATTTGTCTTAACAGATCAAATTTTTTCTAAACATCTGCAAGCTGTATTCTAGAAAATTTCTAAATAAATACTAACCAAAAAAAAAGTTGGTGGTTTCTTCAGATTTTAAAAGGTTTACAGCTGGGGCATTGTAGCTTTTAGAAGCAGGTCCGTCAGTTGTTGTTTTGTTTTTTCACCTAATCGTGACACTATCTTTATTGAAAGCAAGATATGAGAACCTTTAGTGCAACAATATGCGTTTACTATAACATTAATATCTTGTCACAACTTTTCCCTCAAAAAGAGTCATTGGTCAGCGGTGACACAGGCCAAGTATGCCTATACAAAATGTGTGTGAGAATCGGGAGGTTCTCATCACGTAGGTTATAAGAAGCCCTATACACAGGGATGAACACACAGCGTTATGTAGTAGATGTAGTACATCGTTCCAGTGAGAAAATTGCAGTATGTATTTCTTGTTTCTGTCTCGTGTGGTTCTGAACCTACCTGAGTCGTTGTTTCTGACTTTGCAATGTTTTAGGGTTGCTTTTATTTTTAAAATTCGTGGTGGAATCTCGAAGTCGCCCTCAGATTGTAGTTAGCTGCAATTACTAACTGTATGTAGTGAGTCTATTCTTAAAAGTGTTACATAAAAATAGATACTGCATTTTTTTAAAAAGAAGACGGATAAATATATAGTACCGCAATCTACATACGAAGTTACACTAGTCTATGATTTTTAGCAAACTTCTTGAACATTTTATGATGGATGACATTATTACAAGCTTGATAATGTTGGAAATAATATGTATGTGGAAGCACAGTCAAAGAAGCCAAAGCATAGTATCTATGAATGAAAAAGAACTGAAAGAGAATAAAGAGAGAAAGGAGTTGTGAACGAATCTACTTGTATTTCTTTTATAAACTTTATTTGAAATAACATATGTTTATTACAGTCAAAATTCAATGAGCGTTCTGGAACCGCGTGTGAATCGATTATACATAAGGTAGACACCTGTTCTTCAAACAGGACACAATTCTACAAGTGCAATAGCCAATAGCATTACAGAATTTTACACGGTATTTAGCTCTTGTATAGCATGACACGCCCTTCTTATCGATATAATCTCAAATGTGCGTAACCGAGATGAAAGAATTATAATAATCAAGTAATGAGTGTTTGAAGTCACTATTCGTTGAGGGCATGTTTTGTTCTCAGGCTAGTCAGGTTTGCTTCAGGAATAAAAAGTGAGACGACCATTCTACATAGGCGGGAATTTACAGACTCGAAAGAAAATGTACACGATTTAGCATGAAATACAAAGAAAATGTAATCTAAATTGCGTTGGTAATTGATTTCTTCAACGTTTTATTGTGCATAGACCTCGTGAATTTAAATGAGGGGAATTGTAGAAGGGAAGCCAGTGATTTGATTAGATGAATCAGCTGAGTGGGCAGGACAAAAAAATATCAGCAAGGGACCGGCAACACGGGTATTGGCTTTGCCTATGTGTTCTGAGACCACGTGGTTGTCCACGAAGCACAAAGGACTGACCAGTATAGGACATGCGTGTTTCGCGTGGTTGACTTTTGGAAACCCATGACGTGTTGGGGAAGCCGACAACTTGCTCCACCCCCCCCCCCCCCCGAAAAAAACAAAACAACAACAACAAACAAACAACAACATTCACATATCGTCCCATTTATTACCTACATTTTTTCTTTTTGTCTCTTTTAGACCTTTACCAGTGACTTACGATAGAACAAGCTTGAATTTAAAATCCTGCGTGGGCCGAATATTAATTATGTTCTTATCATATCTATCAAAGTGACGTTTGACCGGAATTGGGCCTCCAGTGGAGTTTTACTAGGTTGAAGAAATGCATGCTTTAAAGGTATGCATTATATTCACGCTAGATAGGATTGCTTAAAGGAACAAAATATGAGCCTGCCATTCTAAATTTATAACAAGATGAAACAGACACAAACAAAGGTACATGTTATGATATTAAATTGAGCTGAAGCCAACTGAATGCACGAAACACAATAGATAGGAACTCCACGCTTCTGGGGTAATAAAGGACGTTCCTAAGCCTTTTAAAAGCGTTCCATAGTGCATAGAACAGGTGGCTTTAGAGGGGGGGGGGGGGGTAGTAGAAGGAGAGCCTGTCTTATGATTGGAAAAATCTGCTGAGTGGACAGGACGAACATATCAACAAGGGAACGGGCCACACGGGTATTGGTGAGGGTGTGTGTTTCTACACCACGTGGTTGTCCACTAGGGGAGCACACATGACTGGCCAGTATAGGACAGCCATGTTCAGCATGGTTGACTTTTGAAAAGCTGTGCTGGCTCTTCTAAGGCCTCGAGCACACTTGAAAAATGTCCATCATCACACGGCTGTGAGGTATAACGTCACATGGGGATGATGAGAGAGGAACGGGTGAAAATTGCCCCTTTGGCATATTCACAGAGACGTGTTTTTAGAAGCTGAGCTTAAAATAAATGGTTTAACTAAAGCTTTTAAAAAATCCAACAAACTAAAGCTTCATGAATTAAACATATTGCGTACCTAGTTACCAGAGTTACTCCAGTTATGAAAAAATGAGGACGATTATAGTATCCAGTATACAGGGATCCAGTTGTCGAACTACAGGCAATTCTGTACCCCCTCCAAAATATTCGGATGATGAAGATGGTACTTGGTGATGCTGATACAGCTCAATTCGCCCAAACCTGGTTACGAAGACCCTGCACAGTTATGCAATGTAAATGTTGTTAAAACTGCTTACTCTTTCATTAGTTTTAATATGTCCTGGGTCATCCATTTTTTTATTATTAGCTTTTTTTTTTAGCTTTCCTTCGAGATCTTTAGGTCTATGCTATTTGTTCTCTTTGAAATTCCAAAATGCAGTGACGAAAAATAAGATGCATGCTTGCTTGAATTAAAATTAGAGTGGAGAATGAAATAACGGCTGCTAAGTTTACAAAAAGCGACAATTGTGAAACAGTTCGTGTGTGCTTGCGTCTGTGTTTCTACTTGTTTGTACCTTTGTGTGTATGTATATGTATGTGTGTGTATGTGTATATGTATGTGTGTGCGCACGCGCGCGCACACGCAC